AATGATCAGTATCTCATTCTTGTTGAGAACCTCATGACAGCGATTGGTATGGATAAAAAAGCAATCGACCTCGTTCAAAGAGCCAAAACGATCGACAAAGCTATTCGACAAATGACACAAGGTGTATCAGCTTTGAAGAAAGCCACTACCTTAGCTTCGAAAGCGACAAGTATCAGCGCAATAACAGCAGCCACGCGGACATTATTGACCGAATTTTCACCAGAGACTTTCAAATCAGTTCAAGCAAGGATTGATGTTATTGATAATACTGCTCTACTGTTAACCGTTAAGAATCCTCTTGCCATTGTATTAGTAACTATTGGCTTAGCTTTTTCTCTCTTCAACACTATCAGTAGAACGGAAGGCAGCATTAGCATAAGTAGTGAACTCAGTGATGATTGCAGAGATATCAGTACAGTCAACAACCTAGATAAAACAAGTAGTGCTACTACTATTGATGCTATTACAACAGACAGCGAATACGAAATGAATGAAATTAGTACGAACAACCTTCGAGTGAGCAGAGGGATCATCGAAACCATAACGAGTGCGGTTCGTAACAGTAGCAAATCAATTCGTGATGATTTCTCAATGGATGTTACTTCTGATCCAAACGAACGATCAATAGGACCGATTGAAACAATATTTTCTGACGCTGCTGTTTATGAAAACTCTCTATTGATAAATGAAACGACTCTAGAGTCAAGAAAAGTCGTAAACACCGAAGTAGAAACATTAGTTTCAGAAGCCACTCAGTTGAATCACGAATCAGAAACACAACTTTCAAACATCATCAGACACAATGAATTATTGTTGTCTGAAACCATCACATGTTTAACAACGGCAACAATGATCAATAATAAAATTCAAGCAACAATGAGTATTATTGAACAAATGGCTGTCAATGAGATGAGACAAGAAATCGATAGTTTAGCTAAAACTATCTTACCTAATGTTATCCTCACATCATTACAATTGTATCAATCATTGGAATTCATTGAAAAATGTTCGGATGATGTCAGTGGTCATATTAAAGAAAAATGTCAAGAAATACAAAAAGGCTTAATACAAGTTTTGGACAAATTAATTGCATCAGAATCTCTACGTAAAATGTATAATTTAAGTAAGAAGAATCAATTAGTTGATGATTATGATGTACCTGAAGATGGTCAGATTTCTGATCTCACTGATCAAGTTCAAGGTCAACAACAACAACAACAAACCAGTCTTGATCACATCAAACAACTCATTCAAGGATTTGAAGATTCGAAATTTGAACAAGGTGAAATTATCGGTTATCCAACATTACAAAAGTTAGGTATTCGTCTAGATAATCTTTTAGCGAATTATGGCAACGATCTAACTTCAGCTCTCAATGATAGCAATGAAGAGAGCAAAGATGAATCCGATACAAATTCATTATCATCACTAGCATTACATCGAACCAATGTCAATCGTGATGTAATTCTCGAGATTAACGATCAAGGATATGTAAAAAATGATGAATCGAAAAAATCATCACCAAAAGAAAATACTCAATCAACCAAAAAAATTCATGTTCAATTTGGAACAGATATCGATGAAAATTCAGAAACCACTGATAGCGAGTCGAAAAAAGAAGAAAGTTCAAAAATAACCATCAGTAAACAGCAATTAGAAAATTTTCAAAAACGATCAGCAGATATGTATTCAAGTCTTTTACAATCCATTAATACGTACGATGTAGGAAAGATTAGTGAAAATTGTGATCCAGAACATTTACCAACAACAACTTTAGATAAACCACGATATGCTTTATTAGCTCGATTAACACGAAATATTCAACGAATACTATTGACACGTTTACGTTCTGCATTAAAAAATCAATATACAAAACAACAAGAACAAGTCATATCTAATGAAGATTTACAATTTGAATTTGTCTTCTGCGTCGATAATAGTGGAAGTATGAGTGGAAAGAAAATACGTGAAGCATTGAATACCTTAGTCATTCTAATGGAAACATTTCATCGTCTCTAATGGAAATTTGATGTTGTTCGATTTGGTGCTGAACAAAAAATTCTTAAAACACTTGGACATGAATCAATGCATGAGATTGTTCATTCATCGACATCGAACACTACTCAAAGTCTTCAACAAATCTTACTCGGACGTGGACAATACATTCTTGAATCATTTACGACCGATGAAAAGACATTACCAGCAACAGCCTTAAAACAAATTGCTGAAAACAATGAATTATTCGGTAGTACAATAAAACCCAATGTCAAACGATTTATTATTATGATTACTGATGGAATCTCTTCTCAGACAGATACGGAATTATTTACAACAGAATTAGCTAAGGCAAAAGCTGATCTATATATGGTATGTATCATACCTGAATTACCCAAATCAGATGATCAGAAATTTTCCGCTGACTATAAAAAGTTTGCCTTTGATCATGCAGAAAAAGCGAAAGCATTCATCCAACGCATAGCACCTGATCGAAATCAACTGATTGAAATCGGACAATTAGATTTTTTAACAAAAACAGTAGTCAATGATCTTATCAATATTATCGAACATTCGATTTTCATCTATACTAATCGAATGGAAGCACTTCAAACAACTACGGTAGCATCGATACAACATATCACAAAATTCCATCGATTCAATGCTTTTACTCTATCTGAAATAAGAAATGTTGAACTATGGACACATCCAGAGATTGCCTATACTGGTAAATTTTATGTCAACGATTTTCGACAAAAAATCGAACAACATATGGATATCGATTTTTCAGCGGATTCGAATGATTTTATCAATAAATTCGATTCTGTGATGGAAGTACTGGAGAAAAGTTATTCCAATTTAGAAACCCATGATAGCATATTAGTTCATACTGATAGAATTCTTCAACAAATGGAACAACAACTCGAAACATATATTAGTGAATTAGTAAGAACAATGGGAGATTATATTTTTTCAGCTTATAAACCAACACAAGCTTTACCAGATACACGAGGAAATCGTTTATATATACCGGGCATTGTTAAATTTATTTGTACACAAGGTCAATACAATCGAATTTATCTTAATCAGATTGGTTCACAAAAACTAGAATATCGTATTGCTCTTCTACTTGATCAATCTGTTTCTATGACTGGACCTACCTATTTTTCTTCGGTCGATATTTTATATTCGATGTGTTCAGCATTAAATCAAATTGGTATTGAAGATTTTAATGTTCTAACATTTGGTAAACAAATTCAGTTGATTAAAAGTTACAAACAAAAATAAACATTCGTCCATGATTATTATTATGTGCTGATTGCTGTTGTAATAATTCAGTAGCCATAAATATAGCATCACTTAATAAAGTTGTTTCACC